CGTGGAGACGGGGAGAGCAGGACGATCGACTCGGCCATCCGGGTGGCGCACACCTCCGCGGGCCGCGCTGGGAGAAGCCAATCGCGGTGGCTTTTACCCACCTGGGGCGGCCAAGAGGCGTGAGTAGGCTGGCAGGTGGCTGCGCGGGCGGTGAGCAGGTCAAGAGAGGCGGCAAGTCTATGGGTGCGCGGCGCGGCGGCGTGGCGAGTGCAGCATGGGTCGCCAGGCGCCTGGCCCGCCCGGTCCAGCTCGCCCTTCTCGTCCTCGGCAAGGTCAGAGGAGGAGGCGCTGCCGCAGTCGCAGTCGGCGCAGTCGCTCGAGGTGGAGAAGGTGGTTGAGAAGGGATCGGCCGCCTGGAGAGTCGCTTTTGCGATCCGAGTGGCGCGGATCGCCGCGGGCCACGCGTGCGCCGCGCCGCGCTCGGGCGAGAACTCGCTCCACTTGTTGTCAATGCAGTCCAGACCCGCGTCCCCAGACTCGCTGGTCGCGCACGTGCAGACGTTCATGACGGAGCAGGTCTTGTGCGGCCCACCGGGGCCGTCGCGGCTGTAGATCGTGCGCTGAACGTCGGTCGGGACGCCCAGTGGCTGGGAGGTGCCAACTGTCTCAACGTCGGGCTTCGGAGAGAGCGCCGCCTCCGTCGGGTGCCCGTTGAAGTCGATGCTGACGTGCGTGACCGAGTCCGAGCCACGGGCGTCGCCAGCGATGAGAGTGGGGCCGCCCTGGGCTGCCACGAGCCCCGCCGCGAGGGAGAGCAGAAGTAGGCGGGAGCTCGCGACTTCCATTTGCGGTTGGACTTCAAACCCGGCGCGACTTCAAACCCGGCGGTTGAAACCCGAGATATTTTGGCGCCATTTCAGCAAACGAAAAAAAACACAGGGTTACAGACAGCATGTCTCCGCTCTTCCTCGTGCTCCTCGCTCGGCCGGGCGGCGGCATGGGTGGTGCGGAGGCGTCGGCGCTGGAGCCCACCCGATGGCGCCGCCAAGGCGCGACGCCCGGGGCGGAACGCAAAGTCGGACAGACTTGTGGCGATGCGAACGCGCACCCCCCCCTAGGGGTCAGGGCTCTCTAGCCCGTAGCCCGATGCCGATCATCCGGCCCGCTGGGTGCGCTCCTCAGCTCCCCGGCCCTGGATGTGAGGTTGATGACTGCACTCCAAGTGCTCCAAGTTGCAACGCACGCAGTTCGTCACGCGCCGGATGTAGAGCTCTACAGCTCTACAGCGCTCTACAGCTCTACAGCGCTCTACAGCTCTACAGCTCTACAGCGCTCTACACTCTATCTACATCCTCTACACGTCTACACCCTCCCTCAGAGAGAGATTTTGTTTTTTGTTTGCTCCTCAGCGAGGGATTCGCGGAGTTTACGGCGCTCGGATACCCCTCACGCGTACACTTAATGGGGCGATCGGGCGCGCGTTTTGTTGGTAGGTTTCGGCGATGGCGGCGGTGGGTGCAGTGCAGCGGGCGCCAACAAAGTACGAAACAAACAGGGAAAGCTCCCAAAAGAGAAAAACGGACCATGGCGCTGTCGCGCTGTCGCCCGCATCCACTCACCGCAAAATGCGAGTGCCCTTCGACAAGGTCAAGTCGCTGCGCGACCGCACGGGCCAGCCGCTCCAGCGCTGCAAGGAGGCACTCGCATCGACCGGGTGCGACTTGGACGCTGCCGAGCGATGGCTGCAAGGAGGTGAGGCGATACCAGCACCGGCCGCGAGACCAACGCCAGCCGCGTTGCCAACACCGGCGTTGCAACCGGAGCCGGTGGAGTCCGCCCGTCCAAATGGCTTCACGCCGCCAAGCTCTGAGCGCAACAGCGTCGACGATGGCGTGCTCGACGGCTTCATGAGCTTTGCGACACCGCCAAGCGGCTTCGGCGCCGGCGGCAGCAGCCCCTTTGCTGGAATGCTCGCGGCACCGGCGCCGGCGCCGGCCTCCGACGGCATGTTCGCCGGCCTCGCTATGGGCGGCGCGACCGGCAGCCTCGACGGCGCTAGAGCGCCGGCGCATCCAG